TTTCAAATATTTGTGAATGCTGAACCCACATCTTAAATACACTTGAAGAGCTTGTTGGGAGCTTTGCACTTGCCACCACCAGGCTCCCACTGCCACTGCCGGGCTCCCACTATCACCAGCACAGCCATGCCTATCCCTGTCCCCCCCAGCCACTGGGGGCACTGTGTCCATGAACTCAGACGCCATTCATGAATGCAGTGCCTTATTCGTGGATTTTGCCATTTGGTGGGGATATGAGAACATGTCCCCCCGCAAATGGTGAGGGTCTCCTGTATTAATTTAGACTGCTATTTAGCAATGGATGTTTGTTTGCTTTGTGGTGGGAGAGTGTGGGTAACCCAGAGATACCTGTACTCTCTGGCTGCTCCAGGCAAATGCTCTGTGGGCTTGAGTGGGCCAATCCTGTGCACCCCCAGGAATTCTCATGCACCCCTTAGGGCCCTGGAGCACCTGCCTGACTTTACCCACTTACAGAGTGGCACCTTGGGGAATCTTGGAGAGTGTCTCCATAAGTGGGAAAAGTCAGGGCTTTCTGCTTACAGAGACATGGCCCCAGAATCTCCAGGTTGCATCTCCCTAAGCAGGGAAACTCAGGGTTTCCGTGATTACAGAGATGCACCCCAAGATTCCCTGGGGTGCCTCTCTGTAAGCAGGGAAAGCCAGGCAAGTGTTTTGGGGGCTTATGGAACCCAGTCCTGCATAGGAAGTCCTGGGGTATGCAGGATCTAGTCCTGCCCTTCAAACCCTGGGAGAGAACATTGCCCATTGTCTTATAGCTTCAACAGGCAGGACAGTGGGCAGTGTGTTTTTCACCTAATGAAGGGATTCAGTTTTTCTAGGACGCATCTGGACAGTACTGATCCACTTCATTTGGTGATGTCTGTTTCTAGCCTGAGAGAGATCCATTTAGAGATCATTATGGAGTGTGAAAAAGGTTATGTTGCACATATATAAGCAATGTTTTTAAAACAAACACTAAATTATTTGGAATTGGTAAATGTGAAAGGTCATTCCTTGGATAAGGCCCCTAGTGATTGAAAAATGCAGTTTTAGAACGAGATGATGTTAGCGTGCATGGAGCTTGGACTACCTCCCAATACTGCAATGAGAAGGTTAAGAAGGTCATTCATGTTGAGCTCACTGCAGGAACAGAGTTTTAGTCCTAAAGATGATCTTTTCTAGATCATGATCTCCATAATAGAGAATTATAGGCAAGTTTGTTTAAATAGTGCCCATAGATTAGATCCTGTTCCCATTGAAGTCAAAGGCAAAACTCCCACTGACCTCAATGAGACGGGCTTAAATCTCATATGGTGAAAGGTCTTCCATGCTTTTCTTATAAGCACTAAAATAAATTTTATTCTATTTAAAAGAAATCAAATTTAGTCTTGAGTGATATAAACTGATGGTTGTCTAATATCAACTATTAAGTAAATGGATTCTTGCTGTTATATAAAATAAAATTGATGAACCCAACCTAAAGATTAAGAAAAATAGATTTGAGGATCTTGTTTGTCTCTGATTTACACCAGGGAATATCTGAAGTAACACTACTGACCTCAGTGGAGTAACATTTGGAACTATAGACTACAAGCAGAAATTAGCATTCTTTAAAACAATTCATTAAATAAAATAAAAGCATATATTTAAAGTTTCTTACTAGCATCTTGTGCTGCTCCCTCTGCCTGTTGTTTGATTCCTTGGAAACCTTTACTTGACATGATTGCTTTAGCTACCTTCTGGCAATCCTCTTCAGTTTAAAAGTAAGCAAAGCAATTTGTTTTACACTTTGAGAGGACTAATCAAAGCTGTGCTGTTTTTATTCATGTGCCAGGCTCCTCCAAATGCCCACTGGGTAAATTGTTTCAATAGGTGGAGTTGCTGGAGGGCTTAGAATTTGAGCCTAATGAATGAATCAGTGCTGAAAATGTGCAGGGAAAATGCATATTATTTACTTTTCCCAAGGAGAGGGTGTATCCACCTAGATATTTTTATATCAGCAGAATTTATTCATTTATAATCCCTTTTTATTTATAAATATTTGTAAATAAAACTAAGAATTGTCCTAGTGGAACAAAAAACTGTGATGTAAAGATGTGGAAAACCACTGAAGCAAGTATTAGTTATTGGGAGGCTAGGTTCATTTCAGTGGTGCCATTTTTCTTGTCTCTATTTCATTTCTTTCTTTTCGTGCTGTACTGAAATTGCATCTTTGAAAGTCACCAAAAGAACTACTTCACCTATGATAGTTGAGTTTGTAGCACTCTATAACTCAGGGGTGGGCAAAATGCAGCCCACGGGCTGGATATGAGCCGCCAGACCGTTCTATCCAGTCCATGGGGCCTCTAAAAAAATTTAGAAAATTAATATTTACCGGCCCCTGGCTGCCTGTCATGTGGCCCTTGATGGCTTGCCAAAACTCAGTAAGCAGCCCTCCACATGAAATAATTGCCCATCCCTGCTATAACTGGTATCTTGCCCATTTTTCCCCCCCCTTTTTAGCCAGGGGGAAATGTCAGATGTTCCTTGGAGATGTGTGTTCCCATCAAGAGATTTATCTAATTGAGAACCAACAAAAAATCTGCTTCTCTGTCATAACTACTTTGAAACATACAGTGCTATATTTAATAGTTGAGTTTTTCATGGCAGGACATTTTCTGTGTTACAAATGATTCTCTAGCCTGGCCATTCCAACAAACTAACTTAATTCATACTGGCAAAGTTTTCTTGCTGTTGCAGCTTCTGCCAGTTTCCTGAGCAAAATAAACTTTATGAACAAAGCCACTTTTTGTTCATGTAACTTTATCCAAGGAAGGCTTTGCTTGTAAAGAAGCACAACAACATTACATTTTTCATTGACATTATTATGCCAGTGAAATCATAGTGCATATCTTCCATATCTCCAGATTTGCCTGCTACTTTGGGGTGTGCTAGGGTCTTGGTAATTCTATTAATGTGCTGCTTGTGTT